AAAATTAAAAAGAACGCCGAAATCCGCCAGATATAAGTGTACCTTACCTGTAAGCTCAAACGAGAGATTGATACTTGATTGAATAATATTCTAATCTTCTCTTTGACTGTTTTTTTGTTTAGTAAAACAGCTAATTTTGGATATTTTAGACACAAGCTGTTCAACGAGGAAGCGAGTGCTCAGTTCTTAGTTGTTGAGGAATTCTAAGAATTACACTAGAAAACTCAAAATTTTCCAATTTTATGGAATCTGAGATTACTAAATTCGAGTTCTTCTAAATAGGATTCATTTTTGATATTTTAAAGTGTCATTGGTTGCTCAGGTCTATTTGCTACACATTTTCAAAGTTCGAATTTCTCACATCAAACCCTTAATTTCATTACTTGAATTTGTTTGTCCTCTTTATAGTGAGAATAGACAGACTAGCAAAGAACATGAAAGTCCAGTCGAAACCAAGCCTTATTCTTCCGGCAATAAATTACGCCTAATCAGAACGACGAGAATCATTTTATTCCTATAAAATAGATAGATAGGTCAAAAGCTTAAAGTTTCGGGTTCATACACATTATTGTCACCACCACATGTGCTTAACACTTGCGCTGGTTTTTTTCCCAAGAACAGCCAGCGTTTAACACTTTTCGTCTAGTCATCAATTTAAGTAGAGCAACTGGACAAATATAATGGCGGATTTTGTTGCAGTTAAAGCACAGTTTTGCGATGAATGTTGTGTTTTCAATAACAAGACCAGATGTACAAAGAGAGAACCAGGATTTCGTAATGATCAAAATATTATGGTTTTCATACCGATACTGAGAACTATACATACATACACGCAGGCTGTTTATTTGCAAATGTTTGGGATTTTATTTGAATATAGTGTGGCCCAAATTTCATCAAATACCCACTTGTTTTAATGTTTGTTTAAATTGAAGCGATAGGAAATTCGTACACAATGTCTATTCGATTTCTTCATTATTAGAAATATGGAATCAAGTGATATGGAAAAATTAAACGAGTTGTAAATAAACTACTGACTTATCATATCATCTAAACGAATGTTAAGTTCTGGGTTCTCGACAATTAATGTGCCCCCATAAGCGTCAAAAGCAAATATGCATATTCTAGTTAAGGCGCGTAATTATACCTCTGATCTCGGCTTAGGTAATATCAATAATACATAAATCAAATTAAATTAAATTTGGTTTTGATTAGATTAATCCGAGTTGAAATAATACAAACTGGAAACTCTCTGAACTAACCGCATCTTTTAATTGAAACGCAGACATAAAACACCAGTACTGCCTTGAGCTTTCAAGTGATTTTGTCGTCAAGTAAATCAACGTTAATGAGAAATAAAGTAAAAGAGACAAATAATTAAGTCGTTCCTCAGACATTCATTCTGCAAACAAACTAGACCCAAATCAATAAAGATTTGTAATTTTAACACTCGTAACGATCTCGCATTTTGCATTTTAAGCTCTTTTATTTTCGGTTGTTTGACTCTTGAAATTTGTTTGTTTACAAATGAACCTATACGAAGTAGTAATTTTCTTAAACACTAGGTAACCATGCGGACATTAGATAAAACGAATAAACATTAAATAAAGCTACACATTTATCAAGATGTAATTAAATAAAACCACTCTATTTAATTTACATGTTCGTGGTATTGTTATTTTAACTTAATTGCTGATTTTTCAATTGTGCTTTTTTAATCAATTAGTTGGAAAAATCAATTATTTACATTCAACAATTATCCTCGCTTGGTGTTTAGACATTTAAGAGTAAAGACCACCCACAGACCACCGAAGGCAAACGGAGGACAAGAAAACTAAAGAAAATTGAAACATTGAGAAAAATAGATAGATTTTCAAAAATTATCCATTTGGCTGAAAGTTCAATCTGTGTAGACACTTTTTTGTTCTTTGACAATTTTTGGATAATAACAGCCGTCTTGAGGAAAATTGCTAAAAGTAAACGACTGCATATGAATCTGTTGGGTACACGTTGCTTTGACAACTTTTGTAGATTATGTTTCAATAAGTTATTTCTGCGGAACTGGTCTGACCAGGAAAGTCCTTATGACTGCTTTTAAGAGAATGCGTTTTTGTGTAGGTACTTATGCCCTAAAGTTGATCTCAGTGGCAACTTTTTACGAGGTTTTACGATTTATTGAACAGCCGACAGCAATTTTCTAGTGTGTGCGTCAGCATTTTGTACACTGCACTTTTTTCTACTGTAAATCGCGACTTTTTCTTTATTAATTTCGTGTTTGTGTACACTTTAATTTCACTTTTGTGTACTACAGCCGTAAAGTTGAAATTGGTTGCAGTTTTTTCTAAGATTTTACAAAATTTTCAACGTATGACTTAAATTTTAGAGCAATAACTCTGGACTGACTTTTAATAATTCAGTCCTGCGGAAGCAACGGTGTGAAGAAAATCTCTTCCACGACATTTCATCGAACACACGAGCCTTCTATTGACACGATAAAGATTAACTCCAATAATCGCGATGTTTTATGAGTTTTGTAAAATTTTTACAAACAAACAGAGTTTTAATCATGTAATCCCGCAGCACCGATCGAACTAAAAAATTGTTTGTGACGGTATTTCGGAGAACGCACTATTTTTTTGGGATTTTGCAAACTTTTCAAAATGTGAATGTGATTTCCGAGCATCAACTCGATGCACATCATTTTAAAAATTCATTTCTGCTAAAGTGATCGGGCAAAGAAAATTTTTCGAGGCGGCATTTGATGAAACGCACTTTCGTTACAATCGCAAAAGTTTTCACGAATTTTTAACGTTCAAACAGCAGCTCATTACAGACTAAATTTTAATAATACAGTTCTGCGGACGCTACGCGACACGCCGATTATTTCATTGATGTCATAAATTTCAGCGAAAACCCGGTTTCTTCTTAGTTTTCTCGAATTTTTGAACATTTGAGTGCAATTTTCAAGCCAGAACTCGTTCCAGACTTTCAGAACCCTTCAAAATAAAAAGTGACTCTAACCGCATTTAAAAAAACGCACTTTCTACTGCAGCTGTCGGAAAGTTCAGCTCAATTTCGATTTCTTCTATTAAAATTGGGCAAAAAAAACATGAATGTGCCACGACATTTCATAGAACCAATTTTCTACAATTGTTGCCGTAAAGTTGAGTTCAATCGAGACGTTTTCTGAGTTTTTGGCAGTGTTAGAACATATAAGTGTAAATTTCGGTCAACTCGTTACAGGCAGAGCTACAATAATTTATTCTGCTGGAACCGAGCGATCTAAGAAATTGTTAGCCACAGTATTTCAGTGAACGGAAATTCTGCCACTTTCTACTTATTTTCGAATTTTTTAACATAGTGCGATTTTCGAGCGGCAACTCGCTGCACAAAATTTCAATAATTTATTCCTGCAGAAGTGACAGAGCTGTAAAATATATGTGGCGGCATTTCATATGACTTTTGTCCAGATATGCCGAAAAAATGTTTTTGTTAGTTTTTATGATTTTGTCAACCTACGAACGCATTTTCGATCCAACTCGTTGCAGACTGTTTTCATTACTTATTCGTGCGGAAGCAAGCAAGTGAAGACATTTTTCGCGTCGAAATTTAAAAAAATGCACGTTTGTCTACTGATGCCGCAAAATTAGCTCGATAACGACATGAAGGTTTTGAATTTTTGCGTATTTTGAGTGCGTTATACGAGTGCGATTTCAATAATTTATTTTTCGGGACTAATCTTGCTATGAGTGCCATTGACGCTATTTCATAGAATTACCGCCGTAAAGAACACATTTTTCAAGGCCATCAAGTTTTTCTCAATCGCAACTTAATCTGAGTTTTTACGAATTTTTCAATATCTGAGTACAAATTTTGAGCGGCAACCCGGTGCAGGCTAAGTTTTAATAATTTACTTACCTACTCTACCTGTCCTATTCATTCCGTAAAGTTCTGGTCAGTCTAGGTTTTTTCTGAAATTTAGCGAATTTTTAAATATCTGATTGCAATTTGAGAGCTGCCACTCTTTTGAATGATTTCGATCATCCAAAGCTCAATTTGGAATTGCTTGTAATGGGCGTAACGCCTTAAGAATAGCCAGTTGAGGACTTTATTTAAAAAAATCCCATTTTGTTGGAGTATGATTGAAATAATTCTTGTTCAAAACCCACAATTCACACCATATTAAAAAAACTGTAAAATATACATACCTTTTACTTAAACATACTTCTACTGATTCACTTCTGCACATTTCACTGAACAGCAACTGACGCTTTAAGGGCGCGCTCTGCGCACTTAACTTATTTTTTGTGTTGCTTTATTGTGCAGCAAAACCAAAAAAGGCATTGTCTTCGAAAATGAAAAGTAATAAGAAACTGGGCGAGCAACGGTCTTACGACCATCCAGGGAACAAATTCCGATAAATGTAATTACCTGGATGTGAAATATGCCCCAGCTGAATATAAACGTTTATTTTTCAGCCTTCCTTTCTGACTACAAATCAAGGAAGCGCATGTTTTTGCAGGTTTATCTGACTGCTCTTAATAACCGGGCATCTGGAGCTGCCCAATTCCTGCCCAAATAAATATATAAGTAAATAGAAAATACGATTTCCTTTGTGAAATACCCGACGGCGTAAATATAATGCCCCGACGGGCATAAATCTGGGTCCAGTCAAAAACATGGGATTTTTCTATAAAGCGAAATATTGTGAATGGTATTGCTGTGAAATAGGGGCTCATAATTCAGCAGGCGACAGGGAACCTTCGTATTTTTAAACCGTTTAAATCAATTCCGGTTATTTGAACCTATCTAATGGATTTTTTGTTGTTTCAGCAGGACAGGTATGTGGAAATTTGTTTAAATAATACCTGTTCGATTTAACAATTACCCCAGAGCGGAACTATTGAGTAAACTACATTTTTCCTATTACTACTGCTAGTGGCCGACATCCAAATTTATCTTCCAAACTCTACCAGTTGCGGTGTTTATATGAAACAACCAGCTATTTAAATGGCTTTTTTATTACCTCGGTACATTTGCAAATTAAATTCAATATTTTACAACAATTAATCAACAATGGTAGTTCTGCACTTGAGGTATCCATCCTACCGACATGGGGTTGTATACAAGCGCTTTACAGTCGGAAGAATCGGTACCCAACAACCCAAATTGTGACCTTATTCTGTATATTTATTTATAGTATATATTTGTTCTAAATGTACAATGCGTTCACTAAAGTAAGTCATAAAGTAGTACTTATCCCTAATATGTAACAGAGAGTTGGAAACCGGAAATTCTGCAGACAGATTTCTCCGCAAAATCCGTCCAGAGAATTGGTGTGCTTTTTGCAGCGCTTGTAATCTTAGGCCTCAACTGAAGAACGAAATATCCTAAAGCTACACAAAGCAGTTCACTATTTTTTTTATTCGATAATTATTTATTTTAGATTTTCGAGGTGATTGTGTCTGGTCGTAATTTGCCTGGGCCAATTAACGGCTTTCAATCAAATGAACAGTCGCTTATTGGTCGTGATTGTTTGGCGCGTCTTACGACCCCTGCAACTCGACTAATTTACTATGGATTTCCACACATCTCGCACATCCTCAATATTATTTAAAATTAGCGTTTGATATGTCTCGAATTTGTGTGTGATTTTCACTCAACATTCACTTTTAATGGCAATGTAATATCTGTCGCAAATCGGGGAATCATCGCAGAGACACAACACGCAACAAGTGTCTTCTACTGACCAATAAATCAACGCAAATTGGGACGAAAATAATGAAATGAGAAAGTGAACAGAAAAAAAATTGCAAATAATAAAGCAAAACAAACAACTACATGTTGCACTGTTTAAGCTCCACTTAGCCTTCAGGTGGATGCATTTAAAAAATGTTCCAATGCTTTAATAATATCGTCTATTTTCTGGTTTGTTGCACTTGCCAAACATGACACCGCTACAACACAAATAATGACGAAATCTATTCATTCACCTAGCAGATCTCATCAAAACACTTAAAAATTGCGTGTTTTCATTTAATTCATTTTATTCGGTACTTATCTTTTATCTCGGTTCTTTACCTCGCTCTTATCGTTGTCGTTACTCACATGTAAATGATTCGTCAGTAAATTTTGCAGAACGCAAAAGGCCTTCGAGAACTTCGACAAAATTAAACCCAAAACAACGAACAAGAAGAAAGGCTTATTTGGAAATATCTAAGTTTAGATCTGCAAAAACTGGCAAACAAGCGTTTTCTGTTAAACAGTTATACCCTCATCCTTATCGTTTATCGTCGAGTATCATCTTAAAAACATCACATATTTTCTTCTGAGTTTCTGACTGCAAATTCGATAATTTAAAACTCACCTTTGCCGTTTAGCTTGATCGCATCTCTAGTTCCTCTAGTCGTTTATCACCGCACAAGAATAAATAAATCAACAAGGGGGAAAAATCGGTCCAACTCTGTGAAAGTCTGCTAAACGGCAACAAAAGCTTGATAAAAGTCTTGAAAAACTCTTATCGTTTATCACACACCTTGATGCAATGTATACAATGTATACTTTTATTTTTCTCTTGTTTTATTGCGGATTCATTCAATTATCGCATGCAAACACACTGTGGGCGGATATTGGAATAGTAAAGATTTTTTTAAATCTCTTAAAATGACAATAACCAGGGCAAATAGGCTTCTAAATTGGCTACCGTTCCTCAAATAATGCATGAATAGTTCTCGCTTTATTAATTCCAGAGTTTTATGAAACTATGGCCAAATAAGTAGGACATTTCCAAAAGAAGAACAATTTCGTTAAATGTACATCTTTTCCCCAAGTTTTGTTATCGAAAAAGTACTTTGCTTCCAGGTCACAAGGGTAAGGAAAACATCGCATACGCTCTAAAAAACATAAAATTAATTTGATTGTTCCACTGATCGTGTTTCAAATGAAGATGAAAAGTTACAAAAAATTAAAATCTGGTGCAACAAATTTGCTCCGACCATGAACAAATGGAAGCTGAACTGGAATTCTTCAGTTGAAAATCATTTAAAAGTGGGACATCAGGACGCAAGAAGCAACTTGCACAGAACGAACTGAGGAATTTGGAGCAGAATTAACAACCTTGTTCCCATTACGAATGATGCAAGAATCAGATTGCAAACGAAAAAAGTTGCCAGAAATTTTGAAAAACTAATTACTGTGATGTTTGTGATTTGTTTTTATTTAAATTCCGATTCATTTCAAATAACTGACATTTTTCGATAATCTAAATAGTTCGTCGTTTAATTGCTTCGGACCAGGACAAGTTAATTGAACTTCAGCTGCCCAGTTAGTGAACATGTTATGTTGATCTCTTTCCTCATAGCCACATTTCAAAACTTGGTGTCTAAAGGCAAAAGAGGAATTTTGGATTTATCAACACCATGAAAATGGAAAGATTCATAGCTAAATCCGAATAAGTAGAAAACTATAAAATTATCGTTCATATTTTGCATACCAAAAAAATTTAAATTTACTTGAGAAAACAAAAATAAAATAAAATGTAAGGTGTTCCATGTATTTGATATTAAGATTTTCTGATCTTGAATAAAACACAGCGCCAATATACGGAGTGTGCCACTTAAAATAAGTAGGATTTTTTAATATTTTACAAACCAAATATTAACTTATTCCTGCTAGAGAAGGATTAATCCTTCTCTAGCAATTTAAAAAAATGTCTGTTGAACGACTACGGAGAAAGTGTTCGAATTAACAGCATGAAAATGTAAATTATCATCTTTAAAGCCGAATAAAAATCCAGTTTAAGTTCATATTTTATAAAATAAAAAAATTAAAATTTACTTAAGAATTCAAAAATCAAACAGATATTTCATTCCAACTTTTCTACCGCACTCTGGCTAATTGCAAAAATAATACAAGTTAAGCGTAAACTTACTCTGTCGTTGGGACACCTTGTGTTTAAGAATAATTGAAATTCAAGAGTCAACGCAACTGTGAGGGTTTAGTTACAAAAAAAATTGCGAGCAAACAAACCAATTTCAGCGGATGGCGGGTAGGGATCAAATGATAAAAATAACGCCAAAGCTGCGATGACGCCCCTAAAACTCGTCCGTACCTAATAACGGATATGATCAAGATTTCGTGTACTTAATCTGTACTTAGATATGGCACAATCCCTTCGTTCGTTTGAAGTAAATTAATTATTTATGAATTCGTCGCTACTCAATGTTGCTTCCAACTGTTGGCTTTGTAGTAGACGTCCTTGTACATACTGGGACACTGCTTCCCCGTCTGAAACACCGTTAGAATTATTCATAAAGCGATTTTAATCGAGCAGCGCATTAAACTGCTTAGGTAAGAATGTGGTAAGCCGGTTTTAATCTCCGGCAAACTGCGATGTTTGCGTGTAAATCTTCGCAGGCATACAAAGGCAGCCAACATTGTATCTAGTAATTCGTCTTTAGCGTATCAATCTAGCGAGTAATCAGGGATTTGGGTAGACAATAAGCTCATCGTAAATCATCGCTAAGCTGTCTCAACATCCGTATCAAGTGAGCAAACAATTGTTATTAGCACGCCCGTCTTCCAAACAATATCAAAGAGACGCTGCACGTACTGGCTAAACGTCATCAATTTGCTTGTACACCTCTGGCATGAGCCGAAACTAGTCCTTTAATAAAAGGGATAATGGGGTGGTGCACCATTAAGCAAGATCAGTTCAAATGTTCCAAAGTGTGCGCTGCGTTATTGCTGCATCGGCCGCAGTTTACGCTTCACCCACTCGCAGGTTGTTTGTGTCTCGGAAGCATGGGAAGGCGAAATTTGGAAATTGCCATCAAAACTATTAAAATTGCCACCAGGGAAAATTGACGAAACATAATCCAAATATTTACGCTGTCGAAGTGAAAAAAGTCTACTTGATTGGCGCGAACAAACAACTGCAGCTCCTCGCTTAGCTGATTGTCCCCTCCGGTTCCAATGTCAATATTTGACTGGACCTCTTTATTTGCTGCCGAGGTGACATTTCGAGTGGATATTTGCCCGTTTTGATGAGGCTCGATTTTTAACACGAAAAACACAGGAAACGCCTTCAAAGGAACGGGCGGGCTCAATACTTACGGCTGCTTTGTTTCTAACGTTAAAATCTATGTTTGTTCTCACGGGCCTGTGATGGAGGGGCTGCGGCGGCCTGAAATTATTTCCTAGGGGGGCTTTTGGGTGTTTGGAGTCGCCTTGCATCAAACGCCTCAGGCCGTGCATCTGAAACAACACAAGCTCATTTTCAGCATAATTTAACAGCTTATGACACACCATTTATTTCAAACTGAAGGATCAGATAAAATTACTTGCTACTCGAACTTTCTTTTGAATGACTATTTACCATACAGGGTGATTCAGAATTGGCATCATTTGTTTTAAGGGGTTATGGGGGTTACAAAATATTGAAAAGCTTTTTACGATAATTTCTATCACATTTAACCGCTAAAGACTGAATTTCAACTTTGTTATCAAGTATTATTTTGAAATGGTCTCATGTTTGATGGATAGCAAATTTGCATAGATTTGAGTTCAGCAGATTCATAAAATACTTAACCAACATTGTTGACGCAAAAAAAATCACTTGCTATCAAGTTAGACCTTATAACAAAAAGTGTAAAATACGCCTCAAAATTTGAGAATAGTATCGACCAAAACTCCGCAATCAATCAATGCGATTTAATAGTCACGGACTTTTGGTGGAATACTGTATAAACTGGCAAGTCGAGTAATTCGCAGCCGCATTGTTGTGCAAATGAAGCTTTTATTGGGCGCTGCGTGCTCCATAGTCGCTAGCTCAAATAATTACTATTGCATCCAGTTAGACTACGGCTATATAATCTCTTCTGACCGATTGAAATTCGTAAAAAGCATTCCAATTTGAATAGCACGTGAATTGTAACGAACTAGAATGTCTTGAGAGGTCTAATGATAACTGATGTCTTTTACAGCCAATTTTATGTTGTGTAATTGCACGCCTCTGCTGGTTTAAAACTGATGACCTCCAACACTTTGCATGGGTTAAAACACTCAGCGGCCAAATCATTGCTTCTAGCAAGTAATTAAATCCGTGAATTACGACTTTTCGCGTAAAATGCCCTTTAAGAAGTATTTATGGTCTCATGGGTTTTGTCTGGTTTTATTTTGAGGCGGTGGCTCATAAAGCGAGTACTTAAGTTTTATTTTAGAATCACCGGCCACTAACATTGGCCCAGTCGCTTTGCACCTGCCTATCTAAGCTTGCACCAGAATAAACATAATTTCTGTGTTGCCTACGTATCTCATGTGTAGCCTTCTATCTTCTTCTGGTTCTTTAAATTGCCACTCAACTGCAAAACCCACGAGGAAGCTTTCTTCTAACCGCTGCGATATAAACCTTAACTATTCTTGTAAACAATGAGAACTGATGAGGCACGCAGCAGGGGCGGATCCAGCTTGCAAGTCAGGAGGTGGGGTCATCTTGTAGAAATTCAGTATTCAGTGTTCTCTTATAAAATTAGAAAAATTATCGTTTGTCGACATAAACCCAACACAAGGAGGGTCATGAACCCCATGACAACCATGATGAAATGGTTGGTCATGAGACATTGGTATCGATGGATAGAGATTTAGAAATTCGATTCAGTCATAACATCATTTGATTTCATTGACACCAAAATTGTTTGATAAAATTATAGTTTCAAAGTTTACACCTCTCTTTGAACATTTAATTATCGATGAACAGCATGGTTTTTGTAGAGGAAAATCAACTGTGACCAATTTGGCTGTGTATTCTGAGGACTTGTTGAATGTCATGG